AGGTGCTGAATGATTTGGGCTTCGTCACAGCGGAGGAAGTCCTGGATGAGGAGACGACTGGCGATTCGGGAGATCAACGTGGCTTCCAAGTACCTCAACATGCTACTGGGTCTGGTGGTGACGGGCAGCAGCAGGTTCGGTTGAGACCAATGCGAATGACTACTGACGTCAACGTCCTGGCAGCGTACTTGGAAGGGCATGAGGTTGAGCCGTTCACGGTGAATTGGCGAATGGACTCATTGCCGACTGAAAGGCAAGTGTTCCAGGCTGCTAGGAAGGAGGATCTGGCCTATCAGTTCTGGAAGCAAAAGGATCGCTTGGAGCTCATCTTGTCGGAGGATTCTGAGCCGGTGCTGGAGAGGAGAGTCACCGAGCAGGTGATTGGATCACCTCGGTATCGGTTGATCTACATGGCGACGGTCACCATGGTGTGGAATGGCCCCGGTGGTACTTCGGCAATCTTTGGGTACTATGTGGAGTCTAGGCGAGACACCAAGTATCTCTACGTGAGCTGGGTTGAGGCCACGCGGGAGGAGTACATCCACGAGACCGAGATGACTCGAGCGTTGCAAGAACTGCCACCACGGGGGGCAGCTTCTACGGTTCCTGCAGGTCCAGCGAGAGCAGGAGCAGTCATGTCCAACAATACCACCTTCACGGTGAATCCAAGGGAGAGGTCTAGATCGAGAGATCAGGAACCGAGAGATCCCAGCAGTTCGGTTCGCTTGAACAAGTTCACGGGACCGAATCCTCACGCCTTACCACTTCAGCCGGTGAATCGAAGAATGGAACTGATCACCAGGTTTGTGAGGCTTCAAGAGGATGAGTACGAACGATGGGAAGCGGACGTTCACAGCGGGCAAGAGGTGATTGACGCTTTTCGTGGACAGTGGAGAGAGATTCTGCCCGTGGATGACACCGTGGATGAGGTGGTGCCAATGTTGGTGTACAACAGCATGGAAGACTGGGAGACTGAGCCTGAGGTCTACATGGTCACGGAGGACGGATTCCGAAGGCATTTGGTCACCATCATGGATGTGCAGGAGTTTCCGGTGGTGGACCCCACGCCTGAGAACACGTTGGACTGGGAAGAGTTGGTGGTCGTCCAGGTGTACAACATGTTCCTTGGAAGGGTGGAGTATCTCCTGTACTGGGACCGAAGGGTAGTGGTGGAAGAGGCACCATTGCCGGCGTTGCCATGGATGGGACGTAGGGACCCTCCTGGACAAGATGATCGTGAACCTCGCTTGGCACCAATGAGGGTGGAAACTGCGAGGGAGAACAAGCTCATCGTCGACGACATGATGTTGTTTGAGGAGGTTGAGTTTGAGGAGCTGGGCGAGCCAGAGGAATCCTGGATGGAGCCTATGCTTAGGAAGGCTACCTCTGAAGGCCTTTACACCCCAGGGATTGAAGCGTTGCTGAACGACTTGAAGGAGGACGAGGTGCTTCAGGTTGTGCACACCGTTGACCCAAAGGAGGCGAGTGAGGCGATTGAAAAGTGGAAGAAGCCTATGGCCAAGGAGGTCGACTCGATGGTGGGCATGAACGCTATCCACAAGATTTGGGGTGAAGATGCGAGACGTTTCCGGGCCGATCCAAACTCAGTGGTGGTGCCGTCCAAACTCGTGTACACAGTGAAGCCTCCCACAAGGCCTGAGGAGGGGAAGTACCGACGTCGAGTGCGGGCGGTGGCTTGTGGAAACTTCGCAAATGAGGGCCTGGAGGTGGGTGATCTGTATGGAGCTACAATCGATGGAGTTCGGATTGTGGTCGCTGAAGCCAGTGCCAACAAGTGGAGCATTGGGACGGATGACGTGAAGAACGCCTTCTTGGCTGCACCACTACCAGCGGGTCGTGGGTATGCAATGGAGCCTCCCCGGGCAGCGATCAGAGCTGGCTTGGCCGAGGAGGGGGAGCTGTGGGTCGTGGACGCTGCAGTCTATGGTTTCAAGAAATCGCCAAAGTGGTGGACGGACCATCGCAACTCAAAGGCAAGGCTTGCGAAGTGGAAGGACGATGATGGGAAGCCGGTGAAGTTGGAAGGCTGCTTGACGGACGTCAACCTCTACAAGGTCCTGAAGGAAGAGAAGCCTGGAACGTGGACTTTGACGGGCTTGGTGGTCTTCTATGTGGACGACGTCTTGGCGGCTGGGCCGGATTCCATCTTGCGAGGGTTCTTCGGATGGTTGGGCAGTCAATGGGAGACCAATGGCTGTGAGATGGTGGAGCGAGGAAAACCACCTGTCCGGTTTCTGGGCCTGGAGATTAGCATGCTGGACGATGGGACCTACTGTGTGGGTCAGCAGGGCTACCTTCAGGAGTTGGTTCGAAGCCGGGAAGTCAAGTCCTTCAGCAAGCTGCCAATGGCGAGGGAAATCCCAGAAGGGAGCGCTACGGATGAGCAGGATCCGAGCATGGTGAAAGAGGCACAGCAGCGGTGTGGAGAGCTGTTGTGGGCTTCCCAACGTGGGCGGCCGGATTTGGCATTCCCAATGGCAGTGATGTCCTCGTTGGTCACGAGAAATGCAAGGGAGGCTGTGAAAATGGGCAAAAAGATGGTGGCCTATCTCAACAGCACCATCGACAAGAAGTTCTTCTTGCCGGGCCCGGACCACGAGCATGCCAACGACTTGGTCCTGTTCACGGACGCCAGCTTCGCTCCCACTGCTGCTCAAAGTTACTCAGGGGCTGTTGTCTTTTGGAGGGGTCATCCGATCCTTTGGAAGGCTTCGAAGCAATCACTGACCGCTTTGTCGAGTGCCGAGGCGGAGGTGATCGCGGTGTCCGATGGGGTGGCTTTGCTTCGAGCGGTGAGGTCGGCGTTGGAAGACTTGGGGTTGAAGCCGGCAAGGACCATCGTGAAGGTGGATTCCACAGCTGCGATTGGAGTTCTGACTGGGGAGGGATCGTGGAGGACGAGACACCTCAAACTCCGACATCACTGGATCCGGGAGATGATTGCCACGGGCCAGATCGAGTTGGAGCACCAGCCAGGACAGGGACAGCTCGCAGATGTTTTGACAAAACAAGTTCAGGAGGTCTTCGACGAGTGGAGTTTGCGAGATGGGCCCCCTGAGCTTCGTGTACTACGTGGACAGAAGAAGGTCAAGTTCGAAACCACGGCAGTCGACAGCAGTGTTGAAGCAGCAGAGGTCAACAGCAGTCGTGAACCCACAGCAGCAGTCAGCAGTAGCAACAGCAGGACGCTAGAAGCAGGGGTGAAGTTCCAGGCTGATTGGGCGTTGAAGTTAGCTACGATGTGCTCTATGGTGTGTGGGGTTAAGGGTGACGCGACGACTTCTGTGCAGCTGAAAGAAGCTCTGGCTTCAGACTGGGAGATGTGGCTGGTGGTCTTGATACTGGTTATAGCTGTGGTGGCTATATGGGAATGCTTGAAGGGTTCTACGAAGAAAGTCGTGAGCTTGAAGGCGATGAAATCGGGAGAAAAGGCCGAACACCGTGAAGTGTTGGCGTTGCTGGCCAAAGCGAGGAGCCTGGAAGAAGAAGAGAGGCTTCGTCATTTGGCTGCGAAGTATTTTCCAGAGCGTCGTGAAGCTGGACCCTCGACATCAGTGCAGGTGAGAGATGGGGTGACCTCAGTGCGTGTGGGTGGTTTGAGCGAACCTGGTGGAGTTGGACCGAGGGCAAGCAGTGCTCCGGCCAATCGAGTGGTTGCCGTGGATCCTACAGCCCTATTTCCTGAACGTCCTGTACGAAGAGACATTGGGGTTCAGACGCAGGAGATGCTACCGGCTTCGACACCGACGGTGGTGCAGGTTCCGTTCGATGGGGTCCTGTACCATGGTCCTGGAGGAGATTGCTACCACTGGCATCGTGGATGTTGGGGTCTTCGCAATGTGGACCAGGTGTCGCAGAGGACGCTGTGCAGATGCTGTCGAGAAGCCGGTGGACAGTCACTATATGGGAATGCATGGTGGGCAACAGCGAAGCTTGAGACCTACCAGAACGGGCTGAATGGGCTTGCGAGAAGAGCGAGCTTGTTGGGCCGTGGCGTGGAAGTTGGACGTTGGCCGTGTGAGAAAGGAGGCCAAAGGTTCGACAGAAGATGGTGTATAGGGCCATTGGCCAGTCTTGAGGACCCACCGCTTGGAGAGCATGGGTACCTATGGCAGTCAGTTGGATTGCCAAAACGCCTTGTGAGCCTACCTTGACAGGTGGCTCAAGGAGGGGTGATGAAAGGTGTGGAATGAGACGCACCCGTGGCTTTGGCTTTTGTGGTTCCAGGACATGCCGTAGGCATCGGAACACAAGCAGAAGCAGCACAGAAATGCAGGCAACAGGTCGCATGTTGTTGTGGCGTGTTGTGTGGTCGCCCTTTCTGTGGTAGGGTAGGACCGCTCGACTGGCCGATGGACTTCGGTGCTGCAGTGTGAGGAAAAGTGGCCTCTGGTGGTGAAGCGGTGTTCGTACCAGGAGTACAAGCCGAGCCAGAGCCAAGCACAAGCCAACCCAAGCTGCCATGTCGTTTGCTGGACCTCAAGAGCCCCGCGCTCTTGACCCTAAACCCTAAACCCCTAATAACCCCCCCCCCCCCCCCTAATAGCCCCCTAAGGGTTTAGGGTTCTAAGAACCCCCGAACAACCCTTGGGAGGAGCCGTGGTGGAGTCTGGGGGGCGGAGTTGAGAAATCCCACAGCTCCAGCGATGCCAGGATTCCAAGATTGCAAACCTGCCAATTGGGGGGGGGGGCGGGGGGTGGGAAGGCGCCAACTTTAAATTAAAGCCCGTAAAACCTTTGCGCTGCCCCTGATTCCCAAACCAATCTTGTCAGCACACATATCCCCAAAGTTCCCTTCAAATTGAAAAACACGCCCATCGATCCCATGTGCAAGGAGGGTTCAGAGTTTATGGCTTCTAGGGTTCGGGTTTAGCTCCCCTTGAACCCTGAACCCCAAAGCTTACGAAGCCCTAAATCGTGATGGGCTTGCAGGATTTGGTTTTGTTTCGGGTCACCACCAGACCCTATAAGTCCTGAAGGTCAAGACCCTTCGTTGCGGGGATGGTGCGGGAGCCAAGGATTCAGAATCCAGGTTTCACAGCATTTAGGGAGATGTAGGGTTACAGGGTTCCAGGGTGACAGGGTTACTTCGGGGTTGCATGGTTTAGGGTTTACATCACACTCTACAATGACCCAAGAACTCCGAACAAAAGCCCTCCTAAGCTCACAGCCTAATCCCACACTCACACACCAAACAAAGGGCCGCGCACCCCTCCCTAAACCCTAATCCCTAATCTGCACAATTTGCACAGCCCGAACCCTTAACCTATGCCTTTCACAAGCCTGTGAAGCCAGACAGGATCCAGGCTTCGGACGTTTAGGTCTAGGTTTGAAGCTTTTCCAATAAACAGGGGCCTACTAGGCTTGATCATAGCTTGGGGAGGGGATTCGTGCAGCGGATTTGGGCAGTTTGAGGGATTAGGGCAGTCAGGGCTGTAGGGATTGAGGGAGTGGGCTTTGTGGCAGTTTCAGGGTTGAAGTTAAGGTGTAGCGTGAAGGGGAGACTAGGCAGTGTTTATTGCAGGGTAGAGGTGGCGTATTTGTCTTTACCCCTTTATACGTTGTGATTAGGGGACAGGGGTTCTTGCAAGTTACCAAGAAGCAGTGCCAGCTTGTAGAGGCCTGCTGGGCACTCGACGCAGACTCTTGCTGATGTCAAGCCTGTCAGCCAAAACCATAAACCTCAAAGCCCCAAACCTAAACCCCCTCAAACCCTGAACCCTAAACCCCAACCGTAGGTTGTTTGGGGCACCGTCGAGGCGTGACCTTTCCCAAGCCGGGGGACAAGCTCCACACGCACTATGTTGGCTCAGAGCTTAGAGTTTCTGCTTCTTCGTGTTCAGGGCTTCAGGTCTTTGAGGGTTTCTGAGCTATGGAGAAGTTCACGTCTTGCATGATCTAGTTTAGGCCTTGTGCAAATCAGTCTTTTCTTTGCTTAATTATGTTTGAGGGGCAACCAACAGCCTCACACCCTCCAAGCCCTGTACCCTACAAAGCTCCAAGCCGTACGCTCTTAGACCTATCGTCCCCAAAGCCCTAAACCCAAGTAGAGGCCTTCAAGGTCACAACTGGGACGCCCACTTTTGCCTGGTCAGGATCCTTAGCAAAATTTGCTCACCTTAGTAAACCCTTTGCATGGTTCTCCAGATTATTCCGGGAACCCTGGCTGAAACCCCAAACCCTGAAACTTCCATAACTTAGAGGCCTCAACTAAACCCCCATCACACGCCTACAAAAGATGCCCCGAAAAGCTTGAAATCGCCACGGCATACTGGGAAGTCAGGCTTTAGAGATTTCTAGCGTTTCAGAGTTTCAGGGCTCACGCTCCACTCCCAACGACCTCCTTCAGGACTGGACAGTTGACGCCTGCACTGCAGTGTTGGTAGACAATCTAGCCCGGCGTTATGCGCAGGACGCAACTGCGGCAAGAAAGGCTTCTGCTAGCAAGCATGGCAAAGCACGAACCAAGCTTCACCGGGAGATGTGGACTTCAAGCAGCAATCAGGACCCAATAAGCTACCCCTCATATCGCAAAAAAAACCATGTGAATACGAACAGTGAAGAGCTGGTAGCATTCGGCAGTACCTGGCATCTAAGAAAGCATCCTTCCATTAGCCGCCCCTGAGCTCAGGCTCCCACGACTCAAGAAGGATGAGCCCAAGTAATACAGGGGACCATTTAACTGAAAGGGAGTTGTGCGACAGCTCAAGAGGGATTGAAAGACGATAGTTTTTGTCAATTTTCTACAATAAGGGGTCGGAATACTAGTCTTACTACAGTAGACCCAAAACCGTGTTGTATGTATTAAGGCCCCTATACTAGGCTGCTGTATGTTGGGCTCGAGCGGCGCTCAGGCCGCATCGCGGCCACCGGTGAGCAGATCGACTCCTCTTACGAGCGGGGCCTTCCCTTCAGGCCGCAGATGATGAGGGGGTCGGAATAATTACTATTATTGTTCCCTTATAGGGCCCCTTTTAATTATACTATAATCGCCCCCAAAACCCACGTCAAACGCGTTGCGTAGCCGAATTGTTTAGGTTTGGGTCTCGCGTCTGGTGCGGAGGCTTTGGGGGTTGAACGGCATTCGGTTTCAGATCCCATTTGGCACCCTGGAAGCGACGAGTCACCGGATGCTTAAGCTCTTAAGGTTTTCAGACTGAATCCCGAATCCTTGGGGGTAGCCAGCCTGATGAATAGGACCACATGACGCGCTGCAAGGGGGCGGGGGGGGGATGGACTCAGGCCCCTTGCACCCCAAAGCCGCTAAGCCCCGAAGCCCCTAAACACCCTAAACCCTAAAGCAGCACTTCTGAAGTCCCCCAAAACCTCAGAAGATCGCAAGTGTACCCAAATACGAAGTCCCTGGCGAGGTTTCAGCTGGGAGTTGGTCAGGCGGGAAGCCACAAAGGTCAGGGCTTAGTGTTTAGGGTGCTCAAACCCCCCAAAAAACCCAAACCAGTTCCCGCTGCCCTTATGCTCTCGACCCTTCTGAACTGCGCTCTTCGGATTTCTGGACTCTGTGGGCTCGTTGCAGGAAGGTTAGGGCTTCGTGTTTAGGGTGTCGGATACAGGAGATGAATCAGTTCTGGGTCCAGTTGCAGCATCGGTGGCTTGGGGCCGGTCCTAATTATACTTCACAAATCCTTGCTGCTTGAACTACTGTGAACCCTGAAGCCTAAACTCTACAGTAGCTACCCTACTGTATAGGCTTCGAGAAACCGAGGGATTGGGCGGGGCTGCTTGGACTTAGGGACCGCGGCCGTGGCATCTCAGACAGGGCTTCCGAAGTTGGCATGCTACTTTATGGATTCTCACTACCCACCTATTCTGTTCATCCAGCTGCTGTTTTTTTTATCCCGGACTGTAGGCTGTACCTCCATTAGGGTTTCAAGGTTGCGGGGTGTTGCGGAGTCGCGAGCTGTCAATGATGTGACAGGTGATTGCTGGCTGGGATGAGGGCATTCGAAAGCCTGTGCCTCAGTGGGTGCTTTCTGAGCTGCGACTGGGCTCGGAAGTTCTGGAAGTTCCATACCCAAGGAAACCCGTGCTGTTGCCGGCTCCCGCTGAGACGTCGGAATCATCCTTCAAGATGCTTCAACAACTCATCCTGCAAGTCGTTCAAAGCATTAGTCAAATGGCGCCTTGCAGAACTCAAGGCACGTTTTTGCTTTTTGGTACACAAGTCTTTGAGAGCCTGTCTCAGGGCGGTGATAGCCTGCGGCGTAAGCCCTAAACCCTAAACTACCCTAAACCCTAAACCCTAAGCCCTAAACCCTAAACCCTAGACAATAGACCCTAAACCCAAAACGGGTTGAGACCGCGCCGAGGATGTCCTTGGGTGAGCACGCGCTGCTCATGATTCCCTCGGATCGTGCCTACGGCGTCCAAGGTGCAAAGATTGAAGGCTTAGGGTTTAGGGTTTAGGGCTTAGGGTTTAGGGTTTAGGATTTAAGGTGTAGGGTTTGGGGTTTCAGGCTAAGGCGACATCTGACAACATTCAGCTCTCACAAGAGGTGGGGGCGAAGTTTTAGGCTTCGTCTGGACAAGGGGGAGCATCCCAACCTTGGAGTTTTAAGGTTTGAAGTTTTGGGTATGAGGTGCTCTCTATTACCAACATCCCACGAGTTTAGGGTTTGGTCTTTGGGGGATCGGCACATATGAACCTCGGCTATTCCGGGGATGATTTGCTCCCGTCCCGGCCCCTTGAAGCCCCTTTGCTGGGCCTCAAGGGGCAGGATGGCATGCTGGCTGCCCCTTTGTGCCTCCAACTGATTCTGATGCACTTGTCCTGGCACCTTGAGACCCAGCGAAAGGGCCAGCTGATGTTGATGATGCTCCCATACTTGCCCCTTGAGGCCCAGCAGGGAATTCCTTTTGGGACCGCTGGGTCCTTCTGTCTATCACTGCTCTTTGCGTGGATTGCAGCTTCACCGTTTAGGAAGGCTGTTTGGCGCGGTGGTAGCGTTGTGGGGGCCCAAGAAAGTGCAACACCCTCAGCCGTAGATCCCAAACCTTCGCAGCACATTGCCCATTCTTGATTACATCATCCAGCGACTGAGCAGCTGATTCGACCACTGCTCTGCACACATTCCTGCATCTTGATGACAAACATCAGCCCGATCGAAACCCCCATACCCGAAAGCCCAAGGCCCAACCCCAAACCCCAAGCCCCGAGCTTATACCCCAAACCCTAAACCCCAAACCCCAAACCCCAAAACCCAAGCCCCAAACCCCAAACCCCAAACCCCAAACCCCAAACCCCAAACCCCAAACCCCAAACCCCAAACCCTAACTGGAGGTGCAGGCGGGTCGATCCCGCCCGACACGGACCTCGTTTTCGAGGCTTGCGCCTGTTGTTAGCGCTGCTTCTCTGCTGGGAGTTTCGTCCACAACCGTGAATGGAGCCTATCCTGCTTCAGGTTTAGGTTTAGCGTTCAAGTTTAAGGAGTCGGGGTTTCTAGGTTTTTTCTTTTTTCAGAGGGTTTAAGCTCCGTAGCTCAGCTCTGAACCTCTAAGCTTGAATCCTCCCCTCCCCAACCCCCCCGTCCCCCAAACCCTAAACCCAAACGCAAGGGTACACCCTCGACCTCAAAAGCTTCATCCGGCATGTTCGGGTATAGGAGCAGAGTATTTTGGGATGCATAGGGTTTTTATGAGAGAGCACCTTTCTTCTGCATTCAGAGCATTCGGTTGGATTCTCGAGGGGCCTCAGCCCTAAGCCCTAATCTCTGAGCCTTAAACCCAGTATGGGCCGTGACCAGCCCAGCCGCGCCTTTTAGATTTCGGGGTATGATAGGGGCCTGTAGTTCCCACTGCTTGCAAGCCCTAAACCCCATAGCCCATAACCACTAAATCACAAAAAGTTCAGGTGGAGCTGCTGAAGATCTCAGCTTTCTGAGCGCGCAGGCGAAAATGAACCAACCAATGTGATGAAGGTTACGGGTTAGGTTTGTGGGCCCAGGGTTTCGGGTTCAGGGTGATGAAGCTCATGGTCTAAGCTTTCTATACGTTTCCTGGCGCTGCCCAACATTTTGCAGGCTTGCAAAATGCTTTCCTGAATGCTACGAATCGTCACCTTCAGGAATCGTTAAACCTCACCGTTCGCCGAAAGCCTTGATTATGAAAACCCTGACCCTCGAAGTAAGCCCCCCAAACCCCGAAAACCCTCAGCCCCTAAAGCGGCCTCAACCGTGTGCGCTCTTGACCCTAAGCTTCCTAATGCACTAGGTTTTAGACACTTAAGCCCCCGACTTTCACCAAGTTTGAGCCCCGAGACGGCGAAACCATAGATGCTCCCTACTGAGATAGACTAGGGTTTAGGGTTTGGGTTTAGGGTTGAGGGTTCAAGCAGAAACCTTGTCCAGTAGTCTGGTACGCATGGCCTATGGGCCCAGATTAGGGATCTTCTGTTCACCACCTGCCCCCTTTCTTTGCCACTCTAGGCCCGCTGCTTGCGGACCCTTTGAAGTTCGATCGTCGTGACCTGTCACGCCTTCAGCCACCACATCAAGCCGGAACGGCAATCCTTGTTGCCCCTTTGTTGCCATGGGAGTGTCGTTCATTGTCTCTTACGTGACAAGTTGATGAAAAGCTTCGTTTATCATTTCTAAGTTTTCTAGGTACTTACTAAGATCGATCCAGTGAGACTCAAGAGTCAAACGCTCAGCAGTACATGGCAGCTGGGCCTCCACACGCAGGCGGCTTTCCTAGGGCTGCGGGTGGGGACACTTCTGGCGACGACGGCGCGATCAGCGACGCCAGCAGCTATGCTCCCGAATGTGAGCCTTGGTACTCGATTGTGCTGCAAGGCGAAGACGATCTCATGATCCGAGTCGTCACACCCACTCGAAAATGCAAGCTCGAGCGTGGCTATCAACGCGGCTGTGACTTGCTTCAGTGTGGTGATATCCTGACCCGGTATCCGATTGGCTCCACACTGCAGCATGACATTCTGCAGAAGTTCTGGGAGCGTGAACAATTCATCGGTCTCGGCGAGGACGGTGGGAGTGAAGCCTCCCAGTGGGTTGTGGCTACGAGGGAGCAGTATGCACAGCTCTGGCTCGCGGTCGCATCGGTTGGACTGAATCGGCCCGTTCGCTATTGCATCGCCGAAGATGAACACATTCGAATCGGAGGGGCCGCGACCCAAGCACCCAAGCCCCAGAGACAGAAGAGGCAGCATGTTTAAGGGAAAAGTTACGGCACTGCACTCTCGCAATATCATTTCTTGACGGTGCTGGACCAGAAACCAAAGACTCAATGAAACCGCCAGTCAACTTCCCGAGGTGATTTCTAACCAACAGCCCTAGTGCTCCAGGGTTGACTTGGAGGCTTTGGTCGTAGTGATGAGGGTTTAGGCTTTCGTGTCCATGGTTAGAGTTTGAGCACTGAGTTGGGGTCTCCTGACACACAGGTATGACTGGGGATTACGTACCCTGAATGGGGTCATAGCGCCTCGCTTTGTTACCCTAAGCCCTATGTCTTGCTAAGCCTCGGAACCCAGCAGTCTTGGGCGAGACTCTTTTCCGAACGCGGCAGCTCAGGCTCAGGCACGTGATTTATAGTAAAGCTCTGAACCTTACCTCGGACAGTTTCGAGCCTTCCTTTCTGCAGGGGCCTGAGACAAGGAAGGGTGCGGATTTTAGGTTGGTTTTGGTTTTCATCGGCACGTTTTCGTCCCAGTATGACTGGATCACAAAGAACCCCAAATACCCATTCAAGCTAAACAGGCCATGTGATGGTTCATTTAGTTTCTCATCACAATCTGGCTTACTTTGCATTCACCGTGTGTAGGCAAAAGAGGCCATTTGGTAAACTTGGGTAGCATGGACCAGAAAGGTAACATCGTTGCGACTATGCCGACCTGCCCTCTCTCCACTTCTACCTGCACCGTCCTAACCCCTAAGCCCCAAGCTCGCGTGGAGTTTCCGGGGTTTCGGGCTTGGGGCTTAGTTCTTGTTTTTTGCTAGCTTCTTGTTTAAGAAGGTTTGGGCCAGCTGGGGCTTTTTTCGCTAGTGTAGGGTCGGGACTCATAATGGGGCCAAGAAGGCCAAGTCAAAGAAAGCAAAAACACCCCAAGCCGTCCGGCAACAGCCTGCAAGCTCAAAGTCACATCCGAAATCCTAAGTCCTACATGGTCAGCTCTGTATACTATCCTTTGTGTTGGGCACCCGAAATATTAAATGGGGGGCGGGGCGCTGATTTCTAAAGAAAAGGTCCTCGTCATGGCACCCGTTCTCATTGCAGATGCTGCTCCGGAGTCCGCGGCGGCGCCTCGTCCTGTTGCGATTGCTCAGGGTACGAGACCCTAAACCTTGGGCTGTTCCCCCTCATACTAAGAGCTATGGTAAGGGGGTACTATAATCCCTACTAGGGACTGTTAGTATAAGGGGGGACATCCCGACCCTAAACCCGAAAACCAGAATCCCGAACCTTGGGAACCTTCCCTAAATCCAGGCATTCCGCTAGGTGCCCAGGGTCAGGTATTGATGGAGAAAGGCAGGGAGTGTTGATGACTGCGGTGTACATTTTTCTCTTCGGGTTGCCTGGGACCACCCCCCCCCCCCCCCCCCCCCCGCAATTGCAGGATCAAAAAATAAAAGGGATCAATGGAGGCAGCAGTCCGATTTCGAGTTTACATTCGCTGTAGGCTTTTGCTCCGATCTTGAGTTCTTCCGTTGCAATACAATTTTGTTCAAGGGAGGGATCCGAGATCATCTAAGCTACTCTGAACTTGTTTACGGGCATGTGGACTGCGGCGATTCCGATAGTGCTTAGGGGTTAGCTTCCTCGATATACCCCAAAGTCCTAAACCCCCGTTTTAAATCCCTATCTCCTCTGGGATCTAAAAGCTTCCGGGAAGCCACCAGCTGCACGGGGTTCAGGGTTTAGGAACTAAAGGACCGCAAACAACAGCACAAAACCTTGAGGCTTGGAAGAGCAAGAAGAGGCGCTGGGTATCAACTGGGTCGGCTTGACTCGAGTTCCGCGCCCTAAGCTCTAAGCCCTAGACTGAAGGGTTGCCGATTCTCCAACGGCTGTGTCTGTGTTCCAAAATGCAGCTGCCGTTGTACTACTCCTGGGCCCACAGCCTCATGCATGAGATAGGCACGTGACCTCACAGAAGGGAGCATCGTTGTTGGTTGCCCTAAACCCTAGACCCTCATCGTTGAGGATCCGTCGGCAAATGCGACAACTTTCGAGTCCGCGTCCCCAAATCCCAAGTCCTTGTAGACCACCCCCGGCAGATGGAGAACAAAGGCTGCAGGGGCATGACTGCGCCATAATCTCCCTGCTTCCCCAGGCCCCCTGAAACCCTAAACCCCAAGCCCCAAACCCTAAACCCTAGACCCTAAACCCTAAACCCAAAACCCTAAACCCTAAACCCTTAACCCTAAAGCCCCTGAAACCCTAAACCCCAAACCCAGCCCCGGAGGTTTTACAAGCAGACGAGGCTCTGCAGCTTCAACTTGGCTTGGCAGCCGAGATCACCTGAGTTTTTGGGTCTACAGGGTTTGGCCTTAGGGTTTAAGGGTTTAGGGTTTGAGGGTTTAAGGGTTTAGGGTTTAGGGTTTTAGGGTTTAGGGTTTACCAGCCGTTCTAAAATGCATGAGCTCCATGCCCGCAGTGGGCCAGAGGGTTGATCATTTAGGGTTTAGGGTTTAGGGTTGAGGGGAGCACCAACCTCCGGTTTGTAGAGTTCTTTGAGAAGCATTCTTTGAGAAAAGTAGAACACTCCCAACCACGTGCTTCTCATGCAGCCAACCACCATTTCGTTTCGTAAATACCGTGCTCCTCCGCGTCAAACAAAGAACAGCTGTGGGCAAACGAGCCCGACGGAGCCGGGCTCTAGGTTGCGCGTCCAGGGTTTAGGGTTTTGGGTTTAGGGTTTAGGGTTAGGTTGAGCTTTGTAGGATTGAAGGGCGTGTAGGCCTTGCAAAGTTTAGGGTTCAGGTCTTATATGGGCTAAGGCCCTACACCCCGGATCCCAAAGCTCTTCGAGGCGACGCTCACAGATTTTTTAGGTTCAGGGATCAGGGTTTAGGGGTTTTAGGGTGAACATCATCGCAATTGAACCCTTAGGAAGGAGTACGGCAGAACAAGCAGGGAAAACCCTGCACCCCACAATCTGCCGTGGCTGAAGCTTCAAGGCTTTGATTGAGTTGTATGGTTCATTTTGGGCTTGGGCTCTTCAGGGTATGTGAGGCTTGCAGGTAGGGTATGGCGACTTGGCGACCGGATGTCAGCAAGCCTTCCGCATTCTGAGTCCATCAGAAGAGGCTAAGAGGGCTGCCCGAAGCCCTCCACCCTAAACCCAGATAGGCCCGATCACCCACTCAAGATCCGCGACTCGTTTCCTGAGGTTGGGGCCTGCAAGAGGGGCTCGGCTTGCAACTTCGCTCACAGCGAGCGGCTGGGCTGTTGATTTCAGGCTAGAGGCTTTGTAGCCTAGTAGTAGAGTAGGTAACGTTTAACCTTTTTGGGGTAATCTAATCCCCTTATAATCCCAAAGGTTAACCTTTAGTTCCCCCAGGTTTCTGGACAACTAAGAGAGGGTGTAGGCTCATTTTCTGGTTTGCCCTCTGATCTGCGGTGACCCTCGGCCCAAAGAAGTTCGCAGCTACTCAGAAACCGCACTAGCCAGGTGCCCAGGTACTCACTTCCAGAGTAGAACTACGAAATGGCCCTCTGGCGAAGGTGTAAGGTGCAACTTGGAGCACCTGAACCCGAAACCCGCCAACTCCAAGCCAGCATCCCTTAGCTCTAAGCCCTTTAGGGTTTAGGGTTTAGGGTTTAGAGTTTAGGGGTTTTTATGCCAGACACCCTAAAACCCGTGCATGCTGCAGCTGCCTCCCTGCCTCCTCGTTGTCCGATTTAGAGCTGACAAGACCAAGGCTTTTGGGGTTTCAGGGTTTCGGGGGCCGAGGGTGCTCAAGATGGGGGGTTGGGGGGTGTACGTGCCTTGGAGCACTCCCATGCGTCGAAGGCAGAGAAGCACAACATACTTCCGAAGTCCTCGTATCCCTAAACCCTAAACCCTAAACCCTAAACCCTAAACCCTAAACCCTAAACCCTAAACCCTAAACCCCAAACCCCAAACCCTAAAACCCCAAATCGAAGCAGTCTCGACGCCCGAGGATCGACTTGAAGGAGATGCGGCTTGGCTTGGAAGGTGGTGGGTGTTCCCGAACGACATGTACCCTAACGATGCGGCGATAGTTTTTGGGCTACTGTATAAAATCCCTTCTTAGGGCTTGCGGACTATAGGGCTGATTTAGTCGACTTGGTGCGCTTTAGGGCTTAGGGGTTCGGAGGTTTTAAGCTCTAGGGCGTTAAGGTGAAGATTTGATCCAACTCACAACCCATGGGCTGAACTCACATTCTGGGTCTCCGTCATAGTCGGCGTGCAGACAGGTTTTCGTAGCGGCTTCTTTGTCTTGAGCTTCGTCGCCATCATGGTCGATTTCGGAATGCGCCAGGTTCCCGGAGGAAGATCGCGATTCGTCTTCTGAGAATGGCAACTGAAGTGTCACGTGACACCGATGCTGGACCGTCTTCGCAAACGGGAGTCAAGCCGAGATGTGCGACTTGCCTCGCGATGATCACGCGGCTGGCCGGAAGCCAAGGCAGGCGTGGTGAAAGCCACGAGGACACCGGAAGAAGAAGAAGAATAAACATAATGAAACAACCAGAATAATGATAAGGTAAGCTGGCCAGAGTGTCTCAGACGACATGGACCTGGAGGCTGCGACGCTGCGCAAAGGGCAGCTAGAAGATGCCAGGCTGCGGCGGGAGGGCTGTACCGCGCTGCAAGTCTTGCACCAAGCCTAACCGTAACCTTAACCCCCAAACCCCGAAACCGTGAACCCAGTAAAGCTTAATCACCCAGACGCTAAACTCTCTCTTTCTCTCTTTCTCTCTTTCTCTCTTTCTCTCTTTCTCTCTTTCTCTCTTTCTCTCTTTCTCTCTTTCTCTCTTTCTCTCTTTCTCTCTTTCTCTCTTTCTCTCTTTCTCTCTTTCTCTCTTTCTCTCTCTGTCCAGGGCGCGCCAGGTGAACACCTGACACCTGCCAGTTTTTGGTCTGGGCGAGGGGCTACGATGGGGGGTTCTAGGCTGGGTTAAAACCCTTTAACCCCTAGAGCTCCCAAAGGAAGGAACGAACGACATTTTCGGGTCTTGGTCAAAAGCAGCAGGAGCCCTACACACCCAAGCCCCTAAAACTCAAACCGAGGTTTGAGGTTTAGGGTTTAGGGTTTAGGGTTTAGGGTTTAGGGTTTAGGGTTTAGGGTTTAGGGTTTAGGACCTTAGGATGTAGGGTGTACGCTTCCAAGGCCCGACCATAAAGCCCCGAGGCCAGACTTTTCAAAGACCCGCATCTGCAAGAATTTCATGGCTGGCGCTTGGCTCAGCATCCTGGGGTCCAGGGATTTGGGGCTTGGTAGCCCAGTGGTACCCTTTACCTTTTTTTTTTTGTGTTCTGGGTTCCCTTGTAGTGTAGCCAACCAAAAAAGGGTACCCTGATAAACATATGGTTTCTGGGGGCTACTAAGGGGGTTTTGGGGCTTTTGGGATTTGGGTTGTTGGGGTTTCAGTTTGAGGGTTTCAGGGCAGTGAAGACCCTATAATACGTCTGAACCCGAAGATAGCAAAGGCGTACGGGTTTGTTTTAGACTCCCTCGTGCGCGCCTTGTTCGCAGTGTTCGACATCACGCTGCCGCCCCAGTCTCGTGACGCAAAGTGCGAAACATCGTCGCCCTTGGAACTTGGACCGTGCTCGCGCCAAAGTCGCCTCGGAACGATCCTCGCGAAGCACCTGTTTCTGCGTCGCACGCTCCCCGCCGAGTCGCCGCTTTGTTCCAAAACCTGCAACGCTCCTCGCAGAGCTCTTCCCCCGCATTCTAAACCCGAAGGCCTCAGCTATGCTTGTTGAATTGGCATTCTGGGCATAACAGCTGGCGCCACGCCGTGCTGCCTACACAAATTCGCGAGAACAAACTGGCTTCAGCACGTGGACCAACATAAGCAGTACTTACCCATGAGACCCTCCAAAACCCTAAGCAAACCCTCTGAGCCCCAAACGCTCTTCACCCCCCCCCCCCCCCCCCCCACAAAGGCAAGTGTGAACTGGGCAGCGCTTGCAGCTTTGCTCATGGACAGCAAGAGCTGATCCAGGCAAGCAAAGGTTTCAGGTTTGGGGTCTGCACTCTGTTTTTTTGCAGGGTTTTCGTTGTGGGCCTCGGGGTTCAGTTTAGGGGCTTTCGGGTGCAGGTTGAAGGATGTCCTGTGTAGGCCCTTGAAGGTTGTAGGCTCAGTTCGGGTAAAAAGGGTTAGGTTTTGGGTTTTGTTGGGGGGTTTCGGGAGCGTTTGGAGTTCGAGGTTGTTTTTTGAGTTCATGAGATTCGTACCTTTTTTTTGTTGGGTTTACAAGGTTTTGCGTGAAGGGGTTCGGGGTCCGGGTAGAAGTTACCCGAAAAACTTCATAAGGCTTTTGGGACTTCAATACCCAGTCAAAGCCGGACGTGAAGATTACCCGTTGCCCGCCTGGCAAACCCAGTTAGGTGTTGATTTGGTCTCGGGCTTGTGGAGACTTTTGCAGGAGTGGGCTCAAGAGGCACACGTCTCAGGTTTTCTTCATCTCAGGCTTGATGGGGATTCACATTCTTCCCACCCATCCCCACAAGCCAGAGCCTCCAAGCACCCTCGCCTGCGACAAGAACAGGACACGCTAACATAACAATAGAGCTGCATCGTGCTCATATACATGCCTTCATGACCGCGAAAGCTAGCTTCACAGGGCTTGGGGGGCGGCAGGGTCTCAGAATTGAATGGTTCAATAATCAGGGAGGGGGCCATTCTTGAACGGCGCAAGACGACCTTGAGCCACAGATCGCGGTCTGAGCGCGCGTTCCTACGTCTTGTCATCTCAAAGCGGATTTTTTCAGAGCCCGGCCGACCTAGGTCGTGGCCGACCTGGGTCGCGCGCGTTGTCCTCAAAATCTTAGTAGCTGAGTGGGTACACTTTACACTTTTTGGGATACTATAATCCCTATGGAACTGAAAGTGTACACTTTGTTTGGGGCCTATGAACTCAGCAACTATGAAATGTACCGTTTCCAACACGCAAAGTCGATGCTTCGACCTATAGGCCTATCAAGCCTTTGGGGTATGTTTGAGGTTTTTGCGGGGACCTTGATTTGTATGAGCGCACGTTCGCGCGTCTTTTTGATCTCAAAATCATGTTGCTCAGAATTTGCCGTTCGCATGTTCTTCTTCTCCCAATCGCGTGTGTTGGATAGCTCTGGAGGTCCGGATCCACGTTTACACTGCCAACTTTCCTTGTCGGGTTGTTCGCATGGGGCATATGGGGCGGAATTGTCCGAACATGTTGCTCAAAGGTTGTGGAAAATCTTCGTGTTTCACCACCAAATGGCCCAATTTTGTTAATTAGAGAATCTTCGTGTACACCCAACTTATATATGGCCTCTAGGGTACAGGGCCCATTGCATCCATAAGACATATGGTGTGTATTGCGTGTGTGAATCAACAAGAAGGTCAGATGGAATTGCAGAAGAGGAATAGGGGGGGGGGACAGGATAGGATCGTCAGGAAAACAAAAGCAAGCTACATAGTGCATATGGCCTTTGTGAATCCGCAAGAAGGTCAGATAGAGCAGAAGAAGAAGAGGAAAAGGTGGGAGAGGACTACTCTGACCAGTCTTCTTCCTATGCGCATTTCGTATGTTTCATGTCATTTTTCGATTCGAGGGGCACGGAAGAGACAACGAAAGCTGGCGCGGATTCTAGGAAACATAAAGGCCGGCTTTAAGCAGCTATTCCAGGACCAGCAAAACATTAACGATGACCCACAGACATAACCATAGCGCACATAGCGATAGTAGTCAAATGAAAATGATGAAGATGATGGCGATAATTGATGATAACAGTCATCAACAACACAGCAAAAGTATTCGCAACCATGCTACCCAGAACATCAATAAGAAGCAACGCAGTGTCCATCCCAATACACTGCTAGTTTGGGCCCCTTGCGTTCCTCCATCTGTCCGGGAGGCGAAGAAGGCGAACAAGAAGAGCAAGGCAGCTCTGGCGGCAATTTAGGCTTAGGGGGCACTCCCTGTGGTTTCCTTGGATGAAGGTACACACGGGCAATAAACGGGCTGACGGGCACAAGCTTTCCTGGGCTTCTCGGCATGGACATCCGCGAACCAAGCAGTTTTCGGGGCCAGAGTTTAGGTCAGCGGCTTTGGTTTGCCTCAAAAGAACCTGTCTGAAGTTTTTGTTTGGTCAAGTTCGTAGCTGGCACCTGCTAAAATCGCCCTGCCGCTCCGTCTGACAGCGATGCTGCGGATTTGTTTCGCCACCACTGGCGAGGTGGCGGCAGAGCTTCATGAGGAACAGTTACGTCACGTCGTGGAAGCTGAGAAGCCTGTTAAGGCTTTGAAAGAGTTCCTAGCAGCTCCGATTGGGTATTCCAGGTTTCGACAGAGGCTCTTTGTTGAGGACATGCGTGAACTGAAGGAGGATGATTCCCTACCTGTGCCACTGGATTTGCGTTTGGTAATCTCAGCGTTTCAAGACGTTGGTGCCCTAAAGAGGCATGCGTTTCTGTGCAACTGTGCGCAGAACTCATTTGTAGAGGTTGAGAGGATGCTTGAATCATTGCATGATCCCAATACTACAGATGCCGGTGGGAGTCTTGCGCTTCACGCAGCAGCGCAGAACGGCTGCAGGGAAGTTGTGCACTTACTGCTCGGAGCTCGCGCTGACAAAGACTCGACCACGGGAAATGGCGCGACAGCCATGCATTTGGCAGCAGCAAGGGGCCACATGTGGGGGTCCCACTTGGAGGTCGTACGGCTGCTGCTGGAGGCTGGCGCTGACAAAGATGCTGTGACGCAAAAAGGTGAAGCCGCCTTGCACTTGTCCGCGAGAATTGGCCAAGCACACATCACGCGACTGCTGTTGGAGTCTGGCGCGTGCAAGAATTGTTCCACGCAACGTGGAGAAACAGCTTTGCACTGCTCTGCTGTGAGTGGGCAGTTCGAAGTGGTGCGATTGTTGCTTGAGGCGGGCATCGACAAAAATGCCTGCACGCTCGAAGGCAACACAGCGTTGCACTTGGCAGCTGACGGGGGCCGCTTGCAAATAGCACGATCGCTGCTGGAGGCAAGTGTTGACATAGAAGCTCTCAACAAACAGGGCCAGACAGCTTGTTATTTGGCGGCTGGATCTGGACACATGGAACTGTTGCGCTTGCTGGTTGCCGCTGACGAAGACTCCCACACACAAAGTGGCACGGCAGCTCTTCTCATGGCAGCTCGCGGCGGCCACTTGGATGTGGTGCGGCGGTTGCTGGAAGCTGGCGTGGTGGCCACTTCTGCGACGCGCGATGGCGAAGCAGCTTTGCACGTGGCAGCTGAGTGTGGACACCTGGAAGTGGCCGAGCTGCTGAACAGCTGGCCAAATCAGCACTCTTCAGCCGGAGTTCATGGTCCGGAAGCTGACCCTACTCCCGACGCAGTCAAAATGAAGGTTGGGAGTCGGGCCATTCGGGGCAACAAGTCAGACCGACACGGGTGAGATCAGAAGCGACCTAATAACGTTCCATGATATGACCTCTTGGTATCTGGATCTTACAGGTTTGCCAGTACGCGCAGCATGGCACGGCATGGCACGGCACGGCTCGTGGTTTGCTGCTGGGTTTGATTTTTCCATCACCCGAAGAGGTATTCCCTCTCATTGTCTCGGTTCTTGGTGATTGCTCCTCAAGGGTCGCCTACACATATATGATATATGCACACGCATATGACCCGAACAAGCGCGTACCACGGGTGTGGACAGGCAGAGCAAGATATCATTACGTATGTCGGGTCAGTGCTTGCGCAGACCGATTTTTTCGACTTATGGATGCTAGGGCATCACACGCGCGGCTTTCTTGGCAGGCTCAGCATAGGTACGCATCGCATGAAGAGGGAGATGAACCACACGGCCAGAAGGGTTTGGGTTATCCGGACACTTTCTTCAACATCTTCAACCCTGCAACCCTAATTCTTTCTACCGAAGCCTGGAAGGCTCTTCAGCCTAAACGCTAGACTCCGGACCTTGAACCGCTGAAGGCGCAGGACGAAGCGAAGAAGACGCACATCTCGTTCGGGTTGGGGAGCCGCTGACTCGGATACTTCGGCGGGTGCCGAGGGGGGGGAGGGGACTTTCGGGATACAATCCTAGTTGGGAACCCCCCATGGCACGCAAGCCACACGAGAGTGGCAGAGCGAGACAGAGGGAGGGAGGGAGAAAGATTTAGGGCTTCAGGTACTCGAGGCTTCAGAGTTTCAGGGCTTCAGGGGTTTTAGGGGTTTAGAGTTTCGATTTGGCCCGAAGACCACACCCTAAACTCAGTCAGAGCCCGAAACTCGAGACCGTGCTAGAAACCCACATCTGAAGACTCTGTCGGGCTCAGGATCCCTTCTGAGCTTCGGGTTGAAGAAGACAAGAATGGGCGCCCATTTTTCGCCGAGGGTACTGGGGGAGTCTAGCTCAACTGGAAGACTGAGGCCGTGCTGGTTCCTCCATCTCCACATGTATCTCCGATGGAGAGGAGGCAGCCTGCAGGGCTCCGTAAAGTTCAGGGTCTAGGGTTTAGGGTTTAGGGCTTTAGGGCCTGTTCGACATGTTTCTTTGTATCAAACCTGACATAAATACTTCCCACATGGGCTCTATAGAATCGAGTGAGTGCTTTAAGTAAGGCCGAAAGCGAAACACCAAACTCCAAACCCTAATGCCTGCTTGAAGCTTCACTGTATGCAGGGTTGCACATATCTTCAGGATGAGGTTGCAAGAGTTGTCGCTGTGACAGCTACCCTACTTCTAGCTCCAGCTCTTATCTATAAACCGTACCCATGACCCTAAACCCTGATCCCACGAAAACCGGGTTCTTGGGCTCTGGCCCTGGCTGCCTGGCTCCTGACGACGGGGTGACGTTGCAGATAAACTGCTTCCCCGCGCCCCTCCCCTCACCCTCCTTCCCGGTTTTGGTCGCGGGGGCCCTGGGTTCAGAGGGTCAGCTTAGGGTGTAGGGGTTAATTGCGGGCTCTCCCGCGGTACCCTCCTGACCGTTATGTATTGGCCAGGTTCGCCAATTCCAAACCCTAAGCCCCAAAGACACGACCAGAAGAGTCTGAGACCGACCTTGAGCAAGCTTGTAGTTGCCATTGAAAAGCCGCACTCAAAAATACCGCGCAACAAAAAAAAGCAGTTACCATTCTTTCGGGCATAGATTGTAGATTACTCACGTGAAGGCACGTGCCCAAAACCGTAAGCCCCAGAGCTACCGAGCTAATATAGGGGCCTGAATAATTAGAACAGGGTTTGGGGAGTCATTATAGTATACCTATAAAGGGACCATAAGGGAATACGATTCGTAATTTTTCCGACCCCTCTATTAACGAGCTCGGCATGTTTGCAAGGGCTGGGCCGGCAAGCCAAAGGGCCTTGTGTGGCTTTTCGCGTTTCGGGTTTTAGGGTCTAGGGTTTAGGATTTAGGATTTAGGGTTTCGGGTTTCGGGGTTAGAGTCTCAGTGTGTCCCACTCCTGCACGCACACCACGATGCGCTGAGAGTCTCGTCCCCAAACATGCATGTGCCGTTGTTTGTTTCCGCATGGGGGGATCAACGAATATTTGCCTACAACCTTGACCTTAGCCATCTAACCCCAACCACTAAATCCTCCGCCCTGGGCAAGTTCTTAAAACCTAGCTCAAACGCTGCATCCGGCCAGCAGTCCCAACTTAAACCGCAGTTGTGGTTGCTTGTTCGTTTCTTTGATTTGCTGTTTTGGGGCGGACTTCATGTTCTGGCTGGTATGCCAAGGGGATCCCCTCCCTAGAACCATCCAACCCGCCGCCACAGGCCGGCGGACCCCCAAACCCCTATGCCTATACCCCCGGTACACCCCTACCCCAGTCCCCTGATACCCTAAACCCACGAGTACACTAAACCCCTAAACTTCTGAACCCTTAAACCCCTAAACCCCTAGCCCCTCAATCCCAAACCCCTAAACCCCGAAACCCCTCAAACCCCTCAAACCCCTCAAACCCCCCAAACCCCCTCAAACCCCTCAAACCCTGAACCCTCATCCCCGAAGACCCGAAGCCCCCATGCCCAGGACTCTCAGTGCTCTGCGAGCGACACCCACCTCTCGGCCGAGGCCGCAAACGGTTTAGGGCTTAGGATTTAGGGTTTAGGCTCCCTCGAGTTTGAGGAGGGGTTTCAGGGCTTCAGGGCTTCAGGGCTTCAGGGCTTCAGGGCTTAGGGCTTCAATTGCTTTCAGGGTTTTGGGGTTTTGGGGTGTTGGGGATTCAGGGTTTTAGGGTTTAGGGTTTGAGCTCGGGTTTTCGGATTTCGGGCTTGCGGTGTAGGGGACGAGGGTTTGGGACCTGACGGGCTTCGGATTTGGGGTCTTAGCAAGTGAGCAGATCCGTTCTCAGGAATGTTTAGGGTTTTAGGGTTTTAGGGTTTGGGGTCTATAGGGCTTTTCCATGGGGGATGGAGCGCCTGAGTTTACACTGAGGCTCGGGTTGAATGCAGAGCTGTGCGTGCGTGCACTGTGGAAAGCACAACTCTTAAGTCTTAAGATTCAAGCCCAGCCGAAGCTATTGGGTGAGTGAGCCAAGCTTTCAGCCCCATACCCAATCCCGAAAAAAGCCCTGAACCCTGGAAAGCGATAAAAGGCTTCGAGCGCGCATCTTTGGGTTAGTTTAGAGGTTTGTTAGTTGCTTGGGTTGAATATTCAAAGATACTTAAAGTAGGCTTTACCATTTCGGGCCACCAGTCGCCCTGATTTAGCCCACGCTCCCTGAACAGACTCTTTTGTGCGACCTCGAACCAGCCCTGTGGCCACTTGGCAGGATTTAATCGGGGAGCCTCAAGGGGATATTACGGGATTGTCAGACGTGTGGGCCTGTTCTTGGGTGCCCAAAGCTATAAAGCCCTGTTTTGGGGCTCTGTTCCGTGCAGTTGAGGAATGTGCTCTAAACGACCCGCCAATCCTTTACGTCAACCCCCCATTTCGGGGTGAGGGTTTGTGTTCAGGGTTTTCTATGTTTCGCTGTGAGTCGGTGGCTTTTTGGGATGGTTCTACATTCCTTCCTCAAGACCAAGATCCTAAACCGTTTGCCTAAACCCTAAACCCTCAACCGGCTCAGGGCTACCACATAAGGGCCAGGGAGTGGGTTAAAGGGTTAAATCCTGGGCTGGGGCTACTTGGGAGCAGAACCAGAAGGACTCTGCCTGCCTAGAGTCCAGGGTTCAGGCGTTCAAGGGTTGCAGACTGTGACAAGGCCTTCTCGCAACTCTAACCCCCGTGATTCCCTAGCGCTCTGACCCCTAGTCCTTATCCCGTAAACCCCCAAAACCCCTGGACATCTGAGCCCTGGCTTAACCCGGCCCTAACTTAGCCCTGTGCAGCTCTTGGACACATGGGCCCAACCCGAAGCCCTGAACCCTCCAGCGGACCAACAAAACCCTTCACCACCACAACAAGGCCTTAAACAAATACATTGCCTGAAGCCCTATGAACCCTAACTCGACCCTAAACCCTAAACCCTAAACCCTAAACGGCAGCCACCCCAAGTCGGGATGCCAACCTTGACCCCTAGCCTCGACAACCCAGTCGTTCAATTGCCCTGATACCCGGGGATCGGTTAGGTTTCAGGGTTTAGGTTTTTTAGGGGTTTTAGGTATTTTAGGGTTTAGGGTTTTTGGGGTTTTTAGGGTTTTTAGGGTTTTTAGGGTGTTTAGGGTGTTTAGGGTTTTTAGGGTTTTTAGGGTTTTTAGGGTTGTTAGGGTTTTTTTAGGGTTTTTAGGGTTTTTTGGGTTTTTAGGGTTTAGGGTTTGGGGCTTAGGGTTTCGGGTTCACGAGTTGGAAGCACAAGCTGTTCGAGTTCTTGGAGCACAGCCGCGAAGGTCTAAACTCTGAAGCCTAAAAGTCTCAGCTCTGAGCCCACCGATGTCCCTAAGGCAGAGAAGCCGTGTCGATGCAACGGGACTGTGCCTCATTATCAGCCTCTGAGGAGGCTTTCGGGTTTAGGGTTTAGGGCTCTATAAACCCCTGGCGACAAGAAGGTCACATCAATCAAAAATGGTCCCTCACCCCCCCCCCCCCCCCCCCGCCCCCCCCCCCCGCCCATCCCCCCCCCCCGCCGCCCCGCCCCCCCCGACGCCCCCCCCCCCCCCCGCCCCCCCCCCCCCGCCCGCCCCCCCCCCGCCCCCCCCCCCCCCTCCTCCCCCCCCCCCGCCCCCCCCCCCCCGCCCCCCCCCCCCCCCGCCCCCCCCCCCCTCCCCCCCCCCCCCCGCCCCCCCCCGCCGCCCCCCCCCCCACCGCCCCCCCCCCGGGCCCCCCCCCGCCCGCCCCCCCCCACCCCGCCCCCCCCCCCCCCGCCCCACCCCCCCCCCCGCCCCCCCCCCCCGGCCCCAAAAAAAAAGAAAATAATGAAAATTAAATGACGTACGCCTTCATGACACCTGAAGCCTCGACCCTAATCTCGGAGCCCTTTCCTGGTTCTTGACATCTGCAGAAATAGG